GTTGACAGCCTCCAATGAGTATAAGAATGTCAAAGCTATTTAGGTCTAAGTAGTATTGAGTATATCTAGAAAATTTTGCTAGCAGGGTTTGATGATCAAAGAGTAAATTATTTTTAAAATATCGCTAGAAATGAAAATTTTTAGGGACAATTTTTGGTTCGGGGAGGGGCCGCCCTAAAGGGCTAATGCCATATGTCTTGCTAACACGAATATCACCATATTGAATGTGCAATTTTTTTAACTCAGCTCCAGTCAGGATCAATAGACCGAAAAACATAGTACGGACTTAATTCAATATCAATCATTTCTTCTCCTCTTATTTTTCTGGATTAAATGCGTATTTTTGGGGCTTCTGTCCTGATAACCTCTTGATCATTGAAAAATAGATTTCATATTATAGTGAGACAACCTTCAAAACATTAAACTGACATTCAATTTGGTATTCTAATCATATTTTGGCTTTTCTTCTAATTTTTTGGTTTCAAGGGCCTGCCGCCATCTTGGATTTAAGAATTTTGTAAAACTAAGGTCAAATTTGAATTCAGCGACCCAAAAAACATAAGTACACCAAATTTCATGATATTCTGATCATTTCCTGATTTATGGCCCTAATTCGGCGCCCCCAGACCATAGTGTCGTGTAAGATACAGCAGCGGCTCCCATTTTCGTTGTTGGAGATCTCTATAGGCTTGACGGGGTCGCTACCGCTCCTAGTAATACTCTGTAGAGAGGAGTCACTATTACTGTACTGAAACTAGCTATAGCCCTCAAATCCTAGTTAAAAATTGACGACCTTCGGTTCTCCACTGAGAAGTAAATAGTTAAATTCAATTTTTTACCCTCAACTTTCATTCCATTTTTTACAGGAAAGTGCTAGAAGAATCGTCCGTAGCAGATTACATGTGACAGATAAATTTATAGAACGTTTAGGATTAGAAGAAGAATTAAAAGGGCATGAAGGTTGCGTCAATTGTCTGGAATGGAACACCACTGGAGAGTAAGTTTGATTCATGTTCATTGTAGTCATTGAATCCTTTTTCATTACATTACAGCTCATAGCGCGCACAAAATTCGTGTCAGCAATTCCTCCCCCTGCGCGACGCGCCGCGCAGGCCCACCGACTGCGCACCGCAGCGGTAGCCTCCCTCTCCCTCCCGGCGCCGCGGCGCCCGTCCTCCGCCGGCTGCAGGGCAGAGTCCCCGCCCCACCACCTGCTTCCCTTATCACGCCGCATTCATCGGCTTCTAGAACTCTACGCAGCCGCGGCCAGTGGTTCCTTTCCATCCCTCTCTTCAGTTTCTGCAAGCACTGCAGCCGGTCTCGAGGAGGCTACCCATTCATCCTCCCAAAACTTTCGAGTATATCATTATTCTTGCAAAAATTCCCCGTGGAAATTTCTGACCCATGGAATTTTGGACACGGGACTTAGGCTCGAGTCCCGCGGGCTCCCCACAGGACTGCCCGAAGGCTCCGAACAGGCCCTCCCATGGAACTTCTCTAGGGAAGCTCCGAGTGTACCTGCTTCACATGTCAATGAAATAATGAATAGCCAAAGGTGCTTACTTTGAAGTGTACTATCTGCCAATAGTACTAACTACTTGAAGCATGTGATAAGGGGGCTCCCATTTCAACTTTATCTTCACATTCGTAAATTTTATCATTATGTTGGAGATAATTTTGCTGTATAATTTCATCGATGATTTGCATCAATTCTGATATTTCTTTATATTTTGCATCCATAAAATTCTATCGAAGATTCGGAGATGATACATTCCTAATAGTGGATATGACTGACCGACAAATTACCAATATGGTCAAGCAAATTCAACTGTCGTCAAGTTACTGCGAAATTCGGAATTTTTTGGGTCCCCCCCCTCGTAACCTTATCTAGCTTGACCTATGCTTATCAGAATTATCTAATTTACCCTCAAAAAACCAATCCGCCAATTGAGAAATAGTCGGTAATTTCGCAAAAATTTGCCAGTTTAATAAAATGTTACTAAATTAACATAAAGGCACCAATGCAACGTGAATCTTTAATTTAACTGAAGGTCACCTATCTAACTGAAACAATGTGTTCAAAATGAAAGTAGTAATTAAAGGAAGATCCTTGTAACCTACTTAAATCTAAATTAATGATTCAGGAATACTATATTCCCATTGAAAGAATATGATAGTGACAAAAATCGTTCATACGAAGTTTCTCACAAAGCGTGAGGCGAGGATGCCATCCACTCGGCCATCGCTGCCAAGAATATCTACAGCAGTGAATTATTAATATTCTTAGATCAAGTCTATTACAGTGGAGAAAGTTTTTGTGTTTCCTAAGTGAGAAAAAAACTGCACCAAGAACCAAAATATTTCATTGAGTTATTCAAGTTTTTAACCTGGTGTTAGAATTCAATAAAAAAAAAAATTAATATGCGCTGAGATGTTTCATTCCAAACCCTACTCCATAGTTCATTCTATTCCCAAAAACTATATTTTGCTTCCAGATAATTAGTAAATAAAGCTATGATCTTTGCAGGCTTCTCGCTTCCGCATCGGATGATGTTCATATCATTCTGTGGTGTCCATTCAGGAAGAAGAAATTGAAGTCTATTACAACACGTCACATCGGAAACATTTTTTCTGTGAAGGTAATATGACTCCATAAATTTGAAGAAACACAGTTTTCGAAAACTGTCTGACTGGAGGCTTGATTTTTGAATTTAAAAGTAAACATTTTATTGTACTTGTGATCTCTTCTCTTGTCACTCAGATATTAGTGATCGAATCCTAAAGTTATTGCTATGGGAATAGGAATATTAGTGCAAAAATTTTCAAGTTGGGTCATTGTGTTACGGAAAATTTGACACTTCGGCTTAAAAGCTATTAAAAGTGGCAGGCAATGATTACAGTAAATCCAAGAGAAAGAATAAGAAAATATTGCTGGGTTTACATTATTCGAAGGGGAAAACAAAGTCAAGAGAAACCAAAAATTAGATCTACAATTATAATAAACTGCAAGACAATAATTCAACACAAAAAATGTATAAGCTAATAGATTGAATCTTTTCATTTCCTCTTACTTTGGGGTCGCTTAGGGTCGAAGTAGTTCAAATGAGACTACCAGCATGAAACTTGGTGTAAATATAGTTTAAGGTACCTAGAACGAAAATCAATCGGAACCCAAGCTGGATCTCCCATGGTTCCCCGTATTTTAGACGCCACTTCAAGTTTATTTCCATTATCATCTCATTTTGCAGGTGTTCCAACGTACCTATTAACCTGAAAGGGCCCTGCACACTCCTGGTGCACCTTGATCTATTTTTAATTTTTTTTTTTTTTTTTTTTTTTTTTTTTTAAATCAATTTCTATCAAAATGCTGATCAAAAGTCATCATTGCGCCAACTCTCTATGATGCACCGTTTTTGCACAAAGTTTCAATTATTCGGCGATAATGAGTCAAAAAATATTCCTCATTCACTCGAGTGAACAGTCAGCTGTGTATCAACAAGGAAATTGGGAGAACTGTAGCACCGAGCGGCAGTCTTATCTCAGATTCCACATGCCTCTTTGCTTGACCATCCAAAGCAGTTTTGTGAGGAGCATAAGGGCAGGAAAGTCGGAGAAAAACAGTGAATGTCAAACGGATGAGAGCCGGAGGGAGATAGCCTCAGAGTAGGCAGGAACAGAGAAGATAGACTCAGAGTAGGCAGGAACAGAGAAGATAGACATGTGCTACGTTTTTCCTTATTTACATCAGGCCTGTTCTTTTTGACTCTTAGTCTTTTTTTATTGCCGAATAATGGGACAGTTGCGCTGGTCATAAAATCGTGTTTTGATGCTCGTTTCTTGTAGATTTGCTGAAAATAGGTACTAAGATCTGTCCAAACCGCAACTTTATACGTTCAATATTAACGATTTATTAGATATCGCTCTGTAAAAAGTCAGATTTTTGACGTCATCCACTGCGGCAGTGATACCCTTGGTTTCTTCCTCTTTTGTTCGATCAGTAATGCAGGAGACGCAACGCAAAACTTCAACGACATTAAACACAGACAAACTCAAGAAACAGATGGATTAGCGCTTCATATATCTTCTTATCAGGAGATAACACTCTTGACACAAAGAGATTAAGCGGTCAGTCAGTTCACCATATTTTTTTTTTTTTTTTAATGTCGTTGAAGTTTCCCATTGCGTCTCCTGCATCACTGATCTAACAAGAGAGGAAGAAACCAAGGGTGTCACTGCCGCGGTGGATGACGTCAAGAACCTGACTTTTCAAAGGGCGATATCTTGGTTAATACTGAACGTAGAAAGTTGCGGTTTCAACAGATCTTATTATTTTCAGGTAATCTACAGGAATGAAGCATCAAAACACAATTTCGTGACCAGCGCAACTGGCCCCATGAAACTTTGCGAGCATGTTGTGCGAAAACGGTGCATCCTAGAAAGTCGGCGCAATGATGACTTTTGATCAGCATCTTGAGGTGAATTGAATGCGAAAAAAAAAAAAAAATTAAAATCGATCGTGGTGCACTTTCCCATAAAGACTGTGTGAGGTACTTTTGCAGGAATATACTCGAGTGTATTTAGAATGAGGAAACATTGACATTCAAGTCCATTTTACCCTTGTTATTGGTCGTCATGTTGAAACTTAGCGGTTTAGCGCCATTTCTCCGCGGTTTCTCAAATTTCCGCGGCTTGGTCGCAACGAGATGTATGAAATTTGGCTGGAATATGCATAAATATATGAAGAACAAAAATCTGTTGAGACCCTAGTTCAGTTGGCCATTTTTACCCTGGCTAATGGCCGCCATTTTGGAAATTAACAGCGCAATCCTGCTTCTCCGCGGTTTCTCAGATTTGCGCAACTGTTTTGCAGCTAGACAAGTGAACTTTGGCAGGAATATCTTTAAGTGTGTTGAAAGTAGAAAGTCATCGAGACCCAAGTTCGGTCACCCATTTCACCGCTGGACCTAGATGACGGCCAACGTCATCCAGGAGAAAAGCGATTTGCCCTGTTCCTCCGAGGTTTGTCGGATTTTTGTTGCTATTTTGCAACTATATGCATCAAACTTGGTATGAGCACGTGTAAATAGGAATTGACAGAAAGTAAATACGGAACCCAAAAACTCCGAGATTTAAAGTCAGTCAGCTATACCCTGGTTAATGGCCGCCATCTCGAGAATGAGCAGTCGTCCTGTTTTTCCAAGGTGTCTCGGACTTTTGCTGTCCTGTAGCAGCCGTATTTGCAACGCAGCCGCGAAAATTTGAAAAACCGCGGAGAAACGGCGCTAAACCGCTAATTTTCAAAATTAAGGCCAATAGCAAGGGTAAAATGGTCAAATGGACTTGAATGTCAATTCTTCCTCATTTTAAATACACTCAAGTATATTCCTGCAAAAGGAGGGGTATCGATAAGGGCCTTTTTTGGCCTACCCTAAAATTCCTCAACTCTGCGATTTTTTGGTCATTGAAGGTCTATATTTTACAGAATGCACAATGGTTTTGTCATTTCCGGTCTATTTCGGGGTCTACCACTGGCCTAAACATGGGTCTGAAGACCAATTTTGGCGAAAAATGCGGGGTTTTCAGCATTCGACGCGCTGTTTCGTAACGATCCCTTCGGCGGACAAAAAAATCCTTCAGGTATGTTCATTAGGGATGTAAGAGAGTCACTTTGGCCAATTTTCGTCGATGTCAAACTTTGCGCTCATAGTTAAAAAAAACTTTTTAGAATTTTTCTTGTTTTCCATCATTATTTAAAATGGCTTAAAAAGGCGACTCATCTTACACCAGAATTAAACTTTTTTGGCAGAAAATGGTCGTGGGTGGTCAAAACCTTCCTCTAAGAACTTTTTCCGATTTAAAGCCCCCCCAAAAAGCCGGTGTTGCCATATTTCATTGCCTAAAATCACAGAAAACCTAGTACTTATTTCAGTATTTGGGGGCTATTTCTCGTCGAGCTCATTCAGAAAAGTCCAAAAACCTTCATTTTTCATATGTTATGGCCGAATCACCAGTAATTACATACATTTATCTAACTACAGAACCTCCCATCGCGGCACGGCGTTGCCACATCATCGGGGAAAAATCGAGAAAAATCCACGTTTCCCTGGATTTGAGCCATTTTTTCGGCTTAGGCGGATGGAATAAAGTTGAAAGACTTAAATTGCAGTATTCAGAGAGATGCAAGTGGATCATACCTTGTGCCGGTATTCATTATTTTAATATATTGCGCTTATAGACAACCCATATTCTTACGATTTAACGATGAGGGCAGGTAAAAATTCAGCATTGAGGACTCGCGATTCTGACACATGGCTTACTTTCTTTCGGACTTCAGATCACGGCCAATGTTTGAAAGTCGCATCCTCTTGCGCAAATATCGTGCCTAGAAGTCGTAAGAATATGGGTTGTCTATAAGCGCAATATATTAAAATAATGAATACCGGCACAAGGTATGATCCACTTGCATCTCTCTGAATACTGCAATTTAAGTCTTTCAACTTTATTCCATCCGCCTAAGCCGAAAAAATGGCTCAAATCCAGGGAAACGTGGATTTTTCTCGATTTTTCCCCGATGATGTGGCAACGCCGTGCCGCGATGGGAGGTTCTGTAGTTAGATAAATGTATGTAATTACTGGTGATTCGGCCATAACATATGAAAAATGAAGGTTTTTGGACTTTTCTGAATGAGCTCGACGAGAAATAGCCCCCAAATACTGAAATAAGTACTAGGTTTTCTGTGATTTTAGGCAATGAAATATGGCAACACCGGCTTTTTGGGGGGGCTTTAAATCGGAAAAAGTTCTTAGAGGAAGGTTTTGACCACCCACGACCATTTTCTGCCAAAAAAGTTTAATTCTGGTGTAAGATGAGTCGCCTTTTTAAGCCATTTTAAATAATGATGGAAAACAAGAAAAATTCTAAAAAGTTTTTTTTAACTATGAGCGCAAAGTTTGACATCGACGAAAATTGGCCAAAGTGACTCTCTTACATCCCTAATGAACATACCTGAAGGATTTTTTTGTCCGCCGAAGGGATCGTTACGAAACAGCGCGTCGAATGCTGAAAACCCCGCATTTTTCGCCAAAATTGGTCTTCAGACCCATGTTTAGGCCAGTGGTAGACCCCGAAATAGACCGGAAATGACAAAACCATTGTGCATTCTGTAAAATATAGACCTTCAATGACCAAAAAATCGCAGAGTTGAGGAATTTTAGGGTGGGGCCAAAAAAGGCCCTTAACGATACCCCTCCTTTCAGGTTAATAGGTAAGTTAGAGCGCCTGAAAAATGAGATAATGGAAATTAGCTCATGGCGGCCACCTTGGAAAATGGCGGCCAAAATACGGGGAACCATGGGAGATACAGCTTGGGTTCCGATTGATTTTCGTTCCAGATACCTTAAACTACATTTTCAATTAGTCTCATGCTGGTGGCCCAACTTGAACCATCAGGAAGATTTTTAACCCTGAACAACCCCACTAGCAGTCACAGGGTTCCCAGCGATCTGGAAAACCCGGAAAAGCCAGGGGGGATAAAAATGGCCTGGAAAACCTGGAAAAGTCAGGGAATTTGCTCAAAAAGTCTGGAACTTTTTCAAATACCGAGAAAAAAAAATTACTAAATAAACAAATAAAAATGAAAGAATAAAAATTGCAATTGCAATCCCTTCGTTGTATTTTGAATTTTCCGCAAACTCATCCTCTGTATCGGCTTTCGGAACGAATTGGAACTACTTGGAAGTGTTCAGTGGCTCCCCCTACAGGGCAAGATTTCCATGAACCTTAGCCCTCTTAATTATTTAATTGGATTGTAAAAATTTCAAGTATACTCATTAGGATGTCTTACGCTTAGCTGAGAACTATGTCTGCATGCTAAGGTAGAGGTTATTTTTTTGTAACTCTGCCTTTTTATCCTGGACAATATGCTCATTAAAAAAAAACATATACACATGCATTTCTCAGTTTTTTTAAGAATAGTTCTTAACAGTATGCAGAACAAAGACTGCAGGTTGGATTATTTTTTAAAAGAATCTGTTCAGTGCTGTCTTCCTTAGCATAGCAGCAATACCATGATGGGATTTATTTTTCAAAACCAGTACTACTATGAGTAAGTGAAACAAATTGAAAAATTATTTGCTTTCACTGATGCATGTATCGTTTCAAAAGACGTTTATATTTCGCCAATTTTTTTCTTCCCACATATTTTAACGTTTTTTGTGATTTCATTCAAGTTATGATACTATCCTAGCCTGGTTCTTATAAAAAAAGCTAAACCAGATCAAAAATTGATGAAAACGGTAGAGTTTTTACAAATATCGAAAAATGCGCGCGCTGTCTTTTTTAAGGCAAATTATTTGAGTTTTTTCCGCGGAAAAAGGCCTGGAAAAATTTTCATTTTAGCCTGGAAAACCTGAAAAAGTCAGGGATTTTTTTTTCCAAAATTGGCTGGGAACCCTGCAGTCAGTGCTATTAAAAATGATTTAAATCGCAACTCATGGAAAGTGGTTTTATTTATAATAAACGAAAACGGACAAAGCAGTTTCCATGTAAGTTCCGACTTAATTACTTTTCCTAGCACTGGCCACCCCAAAACCCCTAATTTAACCATGTGCTCGTCCGAAAATGTTATACCTTGACAACTTCACTAAATGAAATCATTAAAGTGATTTTTCTAACTGCAACTTCTTTAACCTATACACTATTATTGATGTTTCAGTTTTTACCATCTGGAAGAGACAATATTATCATTAGTGGCTCAGGTGATCATCAAGTACATGTTCATGATATCGAAGCCAATGAAACACTAAATATTTGTTCATGTTCAACTGGAAGAGTGAAGCGCATCGCCACTCATTATCTTCACCCTCATCTTTATTGGGCTGCCGCTGAGGATGGTGCGATTAGGTATGATATCTTCGAATTCATTCCTTCATAATCTCCTATATGTGGCTGATCCACATGTAATGTCACAATAGGAATTCCTTTACTGCATTTATTGTATTGAATGAGATTTGAACAATCACAAAAACATGAAGGTAGAATAGAATAGGGCCCACACTAATTTATGGGGAAATCAATGCCAGAAAAAAATCAAAATAGAATCCTACATTTTAATGCTATCTAAGATTTTGCAGGAAGTCAACCTTGCATCCTACAATTTCGTGTGGCTGACTGATGAAGACAAAACTGGTGTTAGTCTCTCTAACTAAGCATCTTCAATTGATTGCCGGAGCTGAAAACTCTCCTCCCTCAGTCTTGCACTGAAACTCATCAGAGTTCATTTCAACTCTAACTGTAATTTTTGGCTTTGATTTCATCTCCAGAATAGTTTGAACCCAACCCTGTCCCAACATCCTGTCTTGTACAGTATGGGTCATCAAGTCATGTTTCTCATTGAGTCGTTCAAAATCGGTAGGTAAGCTTTCAGTTTATTTCCTAGCTTTTTTAAGCGATGGCAACCGGGAGACAAGTTCACTCGAAGGTGCCCAACATCAGGGTAGCAGAAAACAGTTATTAAATCGCGAGCGTGTAGTTCTTGATATTAAACATCACAATTAATGTGATGGCGGAATCTGCAGAGGAAGAATACACAGAGGCATTGCGGTGGCAATGTGTTGTGTTGTTTGCCAGCTGGAGGTTAATAATGATAAGAATTCAATGGCATACATCACAGCAGGATGTAAAATCTTAGCAGGCATGGAATACATCAACACACATAACTCATCAGCCAAAATAATATATTAAAATAGATAATCGTCCTCGACGTAGGTTTTTTTCCATCCAGAATGTTTTTTGGGGGGTGGGGCAGCTGATACTATTTTCTAAGGGGGCCTGGCCCTCCTGTAATTAAAGTCATGTTTCTTTTCCCCCCCTTGTACGCCCATGATCCAAAGTTCGTTCATTTATATTTATTATTCATGCATCAATATTTTGTCATGGTCTAATCTTGGTTAGTCCTCTTTTACGTCAATGAGAGAAGCTGTTTGTTTTCTTCATGTTTAAGTGTTTCTTATGAGAATTGTGCATTGATTAACTCAATTTATGACGTCATCCACTGCGACAAATAAAATATTAAATCAGCACGCTACAGTCCAAACAATCGCGGAAAACATCATGAGAAAAACGCTATAAGTTTTAGTTTTTCCACAAATTAAGCTCGCAGAAGTCTCATTTTTTACTTAATAATTTGATCTAACGAATTGCGTCAACCAAATTTTATTGCATCACTTTTTTTTTTGGCTAAAAAAACGAACGGTTGCGGTACTTCTTGCACACCCATTATAATAACAAAGTTTTCAAAACTCATACACTCGTGAACGACATTTTAAAATTTAAACGAGTTCTATCTCCCTTTGCAAACAAAAAATGTACCCTACTTCCCTATTTGCATATTATTGTTTCAGAAGAAGAAAAAATAACAATTCCAAATGCAAGAGATTGTACAATTATGAATTTCTAGGATTATATGCAGATTCTTCCTGTCGCTCAAACTGTGCAGACAGCTATGTGCGAAGCACATACGGGTTGCTAGTCAAAAGTAAAAAGGAGAAAGAACAATCCCGAAAATAACTGTAACTGAATCGGAAGCTTCATATTTTATCTTTTATTTGTATGTTTCTTATTTGAATAAGGGGCATGTTAAATTGAAAGTTGGCCTTAAAGGAAGAAAGTAAGTTCTGCGTGGAAAAAATATTGTAATTAGTTAGTAGTTTCCTGATTCTAGTAACCAATAAAATCCTGTTTTTCCCTCTGCAACCTTTGTTTTTCTCCCTTTTTTCAGTTACTGTCTTGAGAAGACTGTTCCGCACTCATAAAATTATTTTTTCATTACAAGGCTAGCTTTCCAAATTTCTTGATTTACTTATTATGAAAGCTAAACTTCAAAAATATGAAAAGAATATATAGCTTAAGAACTTTCTTAAAAAATAATTGGTACAATTTTCCCCTAACAATGTAGGAGGGAAAGGTTGTTGAATAAAACTGACGGCTTCAAAATGTCGAGAATTTATGCAAATTCAGCGGACAATATGCTGCCCTTTTTAGGATCAAGTAAGATAGGCAGAAGAACCAATCCAATTAAATAAATTAAAAACATAACGATAAGAACGTACCTTGTTTGTACCATTGTTTGAATTCTCTCCTTCTCTTTTTATTTAAACTCAATTAAAGAAGGAAAAAAAGAATTGAAGAATTGACCGAAAAAAATTAATTGTTCAAGTTCTCATTAATCGTCTTCAAACACAATATAATTTACAGTAAAAATTTCACGAGAAAGAAAATCTTGGTTCTTAATTCTGAGAAAGATTAAGGTAGAACTTGTACCCGGAAACAGTTGGAACAAAAATGATAACAAAAGGCAAATGTGTGTCTACCCGTAAACAAATCACTCGCTATGAGCAGATGATAAACAGCATAACTGATCACATTTAATCAGAGCATGCATAATTGGAACTCTGAAATCGGATAAAAGGGATGGTCAACGGTCCATCATCACCGTGAGTCCGGTGCGAACCTCTGTGCTCCGCGGGTTTAATTTATAGCATTTTGAAACTGGACATGATTCACGCGATAGAAGTTATTGTCGAGGAATAAAAGATGAATGGAGCGAATGTTCAATTATTATGCATAATACTGAGGACCTTACCACCTAACATAGTCTCACCCAATAATGCCCCTCGTAACTGAAGAAAAGAGGATTAGATGTATGTCAATGGTGACACTCCACGGTGACACAAGGAAATTACGTTTGTCGGTTTGCATTATTAAAGGTTTCCTGTAATAGTCTATGTTTTTGAAGGACGACAACCGTATTGTGTAGAATTTTGTTTAATTCCTCTTTACTTATGTAAAATAAGTGCGGCTAACTTCAAGGAAAGTAACTTTAGTGTAAGAGAAATTTAAAAGAACACTGTAATGTTGGGTCGAAAAATTGGATTTAAGGTTTTTGACAGAAATTACTTTCTACAAGTAGTATCTTAAAGATAAAGTTCTCAGCAGTGTAGTAAGTTTTTCAAGTAAATAGTAGCGTAAAGGTGCATCGCTATGGATCAATCTCAAGCCGAAGCATTGTAGATTGAAATGTTGACCATCTCTTTCCTTTAACAATGTATTTTGATCTTCTACAACGATCTTCCACATCTTCTACTTTTGATCTTTCTTCCAACTTTAAACCATCAAAACTTCGGTTTGGTCTGACAGCTAGTAGAATTTTCTGAGCTAAAATAATCCTTTAAACAGTGTTAATGAAATGTCATGTTTGAATTTTTTTGCTTGGAAGTCCCCACTTTTCGACTGGTCACTTCTTTATTATGCTATAATTGTTTGATCTTTTAATGTGAAATGCTTATCTCGGGTGAAATCCAGCAGCTTTGTTTCATTATCTGCCTCTGATTTCTTGTTTTTATTTGCAGGCAATATGACACAAGAGTTCCCCATTCATGCAGTGGCAACACAAAGAATGTTTTAGTTTATTTGAAGAAGCATTTAAATGATTTTGCCGAAGCTAAGTGCCTTGCATTGAATCCATGCCGCCCTGAAATGCTTGCAGTTGGTGCAAATGACCCGTTTGTGCGGTTGTACGATAGAAGGATGATTAACCTAACACATGTTAAGGTCTGTTTTTTCCTATGAACGTCCATCAAACACTTCATTTTAGAACAGTTCTTGAAGTATGTCGCCAGAAATCAGATTTGCTTTCGGTAAAACATACTCTAAAATTCTCACATCAAATTTTTCAGCTGAGTTTCTTAAATAACCAAAAAGAGGGTAACTACTTTTAAAATCCAATGAATTGCAAACCTGCAACCTGCTGTAAAAATGACGCTTATTAATTCTTCTAATCATTGGAGAAAACAGGAATTATTTCCTTAAACTAACTTTTTTACTTCTAAGTAACAAATTCAATGGTTATTTAACAATTACAAAAAACCACTATAAAATCTGCGATGCGTATTTCCCATTTTTCTGTTTTCTTTCAACAATTAGTTACTTAAATTTTTCTTGCCTCTTTTTGGTATCATTTTACTTTCTCCAACTGCTTGTCATAAATTGAATATTTTTCCACAAACAGATCGCAGTTAGATGCATAAGATGATAAGACAGTTTTGGTGATTTGGCCAACGAATATTAAAATTCAATGTAAAACCAACAAGCTGGTATCTGCAATTGCAAAATGATTATGATAATTTGTCATAGGAACTCTCTTTCAAAGGTTTTTTTTGTCTTTGTTGGGTTTTTTAATAATGGAAGTAACATATATAGTTCAATCCTGCCTCACTTTCTAATGAGTTTGTAAATATTGTGTGAGCACTGGTTCGGGGAGACTGTCCATGGGTATGAAGTTTGCCTCCTATTTCTATGTATGTATGTAACCGCCTTTCATATGAGAACACTCATTTATTTGGAATATACATGATGATCCAGTTGCGCTCGTCACAAGTTTGTATATTGATGGTTAAGCTGGTCATAATATAGCTCAGCAAAAATTACCCTTCAAAATGCCAAATTTCCACATCCAGTACTAATGAAGAAAGTAACACAGACAAACAAAATGGAGATACCGCTCATCGATAAACACGGCACATGATGTCATCCACTGTGATGGTGCATAGCATGGTTTCTACCATCCTGCTTTCATCGAACAATACAGCTCTTGCAAATGCTATACAAAGGTAGGTGTAGAACACAGACTAAACCAAGCTGATTGCAACCATGGTGTGCACTGCCATGGTGGCTGACGCCATTAAGCGTGATTTTTTGTATCTTGTGCATCTGTTATTCTTGCACTAAAAAACTGGGCATTTAGACGGATCTGATTCTTTTTTGCTTCTTTTTAAACCTAAAAAATTGAAACATGTCTGCTGTTTTGGATTTTCAAACCTTGAACATTTGACTGAAAATTTAAAAAAAAAAAAATATTCCGTAGTACCAAGTTTCACTACAATCGATCTAAGAGGAGCTAAAACAGCATTTTAAGCCACAGTCGGCCATTTCAAGCCAACTATCTTCGCCCTGGACTAATCTTGTCCTAGTGGTGTAGGAGACTCACAATTGGCGTATCACAGGATCAGCTCATCTATACTTCATGTATCATTGATCACTACCCAAGTAGCATTTTTTAGAGTTAAAGTTGCAAGAAGTTGAAACAATATTGGTTAAAGGTGGCAACTAAGTTGCAACTTTCTGTCAACTTTTGGTCGATAAGTGCTGATCTTCGGTGATGTGATCGGAAGAAATTTCGCAACTTAGAGCAATTGAATTGCATGAATCTTGCAACTTTTCGACGTCGCCAACATGTGTAAAATTGCTAAATTTCGTCAACGTTGTCTAATTTCGCGGAAATTCTGAGTTTTGCCGCATTTTTGCCCAAATTCCCGAAAAGTCTTGATTTTCAAAAACGTGAAAATTTCGAATTTCACGGACATTGCCAAAGTTCCAGAAAAGTCTGGACGTGCAACTTCTCGAAATTTTCAGCATTCTCGAAAACTATACATTTTTCACTTTCACTTTGAACGGAACCAAAGCTAAAGCATGCTGAAACGCCTGTTGCAAGTCCAGTATCTCAGCGACAGCGTTTAATGAAATTCCCAATTGATACGTGATAATACGCTCTTTCTAGACAAATAATAATTACCAAATGGAATGCGTCTTTTGCAAATAAAAGTAAAAATGAGTAATATAAAACAACAAATGAAACGCGTTACAAGATAGACACAAGATGGCGGATGGATAGACCGGTTCGTTTCAAAGCTTGTCCGTTGCTCAAGAAGCGTTCCGATTACTGCAACATGATTGGCTAGTAAAGACCAGTCACGTGACGTCCTTACCAATTTGCCAAGAAGCCTGCAATATTCAAATTTTAGCCAAATGTAAGGACCAGGACCGATATTGAAGTTCGAACATGCTTCAACTTAATTGCGACAAGTTCTAACAATGATAGCTCCTTCAAGGGAAGAAGTAGGCAATCTGCTTGTCAATCTATTAGTTGCAAGAATCCAACGATTTTGTTGCAACCTCTGCTTCTTGGGTACATGGACACTTGGGTGCCCCAAACAACCATCCAAAATAATTTATCGGATCATCGATGTTTGATGGTTTTAGTGTGTCATTATGTTAAAAATTTAATATCCCCAATTTTGAGCGAAATTGGATGATTTTTAGTGTTGCCGCAACGCTGTTTTAGTTGCGGCGAAAATTTTTGAGACTTGCCTTTTTAGCGTTATGGACGCAACTTTTACAGGCAGTTAGCAGCAATTACAGGCATCAAATTGTTTTTTATCGTGACTTCGCATAGTATATTCACAAGTAATAATGTTTGTTTTGACATTGCAAACCTTATGAGGACCCTACAACAAAACGGCCAAATCGGCCTAATCACGGAATCCTACAATTGAGGACACTGCAACAACGCATAGACGTATAGGTCGTTATTACGACCATCTGCTTTTCGGATTCTACGTACCCTGGACTATGCTGTGGTAGCGATTGAATATAGATAGGGAACGGCTCGAGGTCGAAAAACCATTTTTTTCCAAGTTGAGTCAGGCCTCTGGATCGATGGGTGCAAGAACGACCTTTATGCGCGGCCTTATCATTCTCCAAAGGAGACTGAATTATTTTATTTTTTGATCTCATTTTATGAAAATTTGTTTTTATTTCAGAAAAACGAGCTATTGAAATAATTTATTCTCCTCTCAAACTATCCATTCCTCCAAAAATGTACACTTCGCATATTGCCACCAAAATGACTATTGGGCGTAATACGGGCCTATAAACTTAAGGGTCTTTAAGGTGCTAGTTACCCCTTTCTTTACTCACTATCGATATTCTTTCATTTTGTGTTAATCATGCGCGATTAAAATGATTTATACTTCATATTGCCACCAAAATGACTGTTGGGCATAATAATGGCCTATAAACCGCTTTTTTAAATTAAATATATCAGAGTGTAAACCCAAAATGTATCGCAAAATCTACCCAGCATCCTTCAAAGAAGGGTTAGGTCACCCAAAAACACCAAAATAGGGTACCTGTATAGAAAAGTCTGCGCAGTACATTAAAAACAAAACTTTAAATGCGTTTTTCTGAAAACGCGGTTTCCAGTTATAGGCTGTTCTTGGTGCGGTGTCCTCAATTTCAAGAATCAGGGCCTGTTCAACGATAAATGCTGATTTAAATGTCACTCTGAGCTGCTGGTACGATTTAATGTCAGCTCTTTGACTACTATTCTCGCGCCGAGATTCGTGAGGGGCGGGGAGAACCCCCGAACATCGGTAGAAAATGCAATCATGACGAAGGGGTGTTCAACCGTGTTTCTCAAAACTGATCGTGCAGACTTGAACCTCTATGAAAATGACTTAGGATTCAAAGCATAGGTTAAGTGAAAAAAAAATGAATCAACGGCAAGAGAGGGGGTTGTCACCTGCAAAGTGAAGACCCTCCCCACTCCTCAAAAATCACCCGTTGATATACCGAAAGGTGCAGCCGGGCAGTCTTCTACATCAAATTAAGGTCCTTACTTAGCTCTCTCAGACTTAACTTTCTGGCTCTAAATCTCTCTCTACGCTTTGTTTAATGCCTTAACCTACACTACCTCCAGTCTTCCTACATGCTCTCTAATCATTGGCTGTCTTCATTTAAAGTCTTCTATTTTATCACACTCTTTTGGGCCTGATCTGCTGTCTTAATGTCCTCATGTTTTTCTGCTGTAGAATCTTAAATTTGTCTTAATATCCCTGCCAATTTATTATCATTTTCGCATGTAATTTTCATTTTGTATACTCTTTGTAAACTCTTTTTTAGAATAAAAAAAAAAAAAAAAAAAACTCAAAAATGCCCCCACTGTCAGCAATACGCAAGGCGAGGAAAACAGTGAGTGTAGATTATGTTAGAAGGAAATATTGTAGTCTAATCCTGCTCTGGAATATTTTGACTTAAACCTGAGGAACTTGACTAAACTGTTTTCCTCGCCTTGGGTATTGCTAAGGGTGGGGGCATTCTTGAGGGGTGGGAGGTGGTCCTCACTTTGCAGGTGACAACCCCCTCCCTTGCCCTTAGTTCATTTTTCACTTAACCTATGCTTCGAATCCTAAATCATTTTCATAGAGGTTCAAGTCTGCACGATCAGTTTTGAGAAACACGGTTGAACACCCCTTCGTCACGATTGCATTTTCTACCGATGCGCGATGTTCGGGGGTTCTTTCCGCCCCTCACGGACCTCGACGCGAGAGTAGTAGTCAATTAGCTCACATTAAATCGTACCAACAGCTCAGAGTGGCATTTAAAGCAGCATTCATTGTTAAATAGGCTCTGATCAAACTTTCGCTGCAGAATTATTATAAAAAATATGCCGCGAAATGAATTATTTTGCAATGGGGGGGGGGGTTAGGGCACTGGGGGCTGCGGAAAAACGGTAACGAGACATACATCGCTCCAAAATTTTACAAGGATTCAGAAAATGGAGCCATTCGTAAAGACATGAGCAACCGTTCTTGTGTTTTGGCTGGCAAAGCTGATTTGGATCACTTACCCCTCCATTCCCCCACTTCCAAACCCGTCACGCTATCAGTGAGGACCGTTCCGGGGGGACTAAAGGGGCGTAAGGACTCCTTACGCCAAAAATCAGCTTGTTATAGATTTTTTCCCTTAACTTTTTTACAAGTCCTGGACTAGTAGCTTAAGAGCGAAAAATCGAGTTTTTTTCGATTTTAAGGGGTTCGAAGTTTAAGGTCGAATTTTAAGGTTTGCAACTTCAAAACAAACATTTTTACTTGTGAGTATACTATGCAAAGTCACGATATAAAACAATTTGACGCCTGTAATTGCTGCTAACTGCCTGTAAAAGTTGCGTCCATAACGCTAAAAAGGCAAGTCTCAAAAATTTTCGCCGCAACTAAAACAGTGTCGCGGCAACACTATAAATCATCCGATTTCGCTCAAATTTGGGGATATTAAATATTAAACGTAATGACACACTAACACCATCGAACGTCGATGATCGGATAAATTTTTTTTGGATGGTTCAAATTTGGGACATCCTAATGGACACACAGCAATGAGAGTAATTTACTCTGGAGCACCATAAAAATGGAAATTCTGTGAAGTATTACATTCAATAATAAACAACTTATTTCATAACGTTTTAATTACTTATCTAAAGCTAAATTCCTGGATAAGATTTGACACATTGGCAGTAGGCATACATATTTGCATGCGGGTATTGATCTTGATTTCAGGATTCATTTCGATAGAAGTTTTAAAGGAAAACACTTAACACTGAGAGTCAGATCGTATCACGTCCGACTTTTACAATAAGCAACAAAACCGATTCCGAGGTCTTATTAGCGGCTTTTAGGTTATAAGTACAATCGCAGCTTAATGAACTTGAAAGTTGTCAGAGAAAACATACCCACTATTTGCAAGGCAGGGAATTTACAGGTTGTAAGGAGCAGAATATTTCCATCAACGACTAGAGAAATAGAAGAAAATAAGAACCAATCAACTTATACCAAAAAAGAGAATTTGGCTGACAAAGTGGGATTAAGTACAACTATGATCTGACAAATGAAGCAGAGGAAAAGTGAAAAAACTTACGGAGAGCAAATTTTGATGTAGACGTAGAAGCGTGATAGGCTGATTGACACAACGCTACTAGTTTTGGATGAAATTAACTAAAAAGCCGACAATGAACCATTGACCAATTTCTGGTGGTTTAGTCAAGGTCATGAGAAGCAATGATAGAAGGTAAGGAACCAGGAGGACAGATCTCAAAAAAATAGAGATTTGAAGTTGCCATTGCAAAATTCTTGTTTTTGAGGGAAAAACCTCATCTGAGCCCAGTCATCACCTTAAGAGATATGTTGTTTGGTGCAACATCAGTTTCAACCGATCCGGGAGGCAACTGTGGACACGTTTCGAGACTAGTTGCATCAATCATTAGTACAGCATAGCCCAATGTATACATAATAATAATTGAAAGTCAGCCCCAGTGTTTCAGTGGTTAAGATAGTTTGTTCCCAGCACTCAGGTCCCAGCACGGTTCCATCCCCAGAGGTGACTGATATTTGAGGATACTCAAATATTAGTTATCATGACTACGAACGACCATGCCACTCCAATATCCACCTTTTGAGGAAACAGGGTGTGGGAGAGACACTGTGATCTATTAAGTAATCAGTCTCCACTGTTTTACTGGGTTGTGATAAAATCGTTGATCACTCGTAGTGTGTGGGCCGGCCAGCGTTCCCTATCAGTGTGAGATTGGAACAACTTAGTCCTACTCGTTGGGGGTGTGGCTGGACTCCAAAAGTCAGCGACCTGTCGCTTCTGCCACAGTTGTTAATACAACCCTTTTTTGGTTTATCGGACGGCCGCTGAACCTTGCAGAAAAATGTGATAAGTTAGTATCATGCGATGGAGTTAAGGTGCACAGTCCAACCTCAGGGCGCACGACGGCAGATGCCATGCCAGCCGCCTTTGCCCCTAGAGGGTGCCTCAGCCAGTCAGCCCGGCTCTTACTTACTTTCTTGCTTGCTTACATAAAAATGAAAATAATTTTTCTGTTTTTTTTTTTATTCTTTTCTAGAATCGAAATTTAGAGTCCACAAGTTCCCTGTTCAATAATTCTTTTTTAACTGTTGCGGATGAATTAAGTCAAGAAGATAATTTGCCCCCAAATTGTGTACAATATTTTACTGCAGGTATGTGCCTAAAGGAAAAGCAACAATAATTATCTCATTATTCATAATGAATTTTTTGGGGACTACATGCCTTCATACATTGGCAGTCAAGGTATCAGACAAGCGCAATTCTCACCAACCTTGAGCAGGGGTGAGGCACCTTGTTCATCAACAAAAAAGATTTGCACGGTATGGCATCATCAAGTTCTAGGTAATGTCTCTCAGATGGTTTATCTAAACCTGAGCCACAATGCGTTTTGGGATGGGGGTGGGAGAAACAAGCTGAAGCCGACTTTCTTAAACAATTTATAACTATGTTTTTTGGGGAGAATAATATTTTTAGATCCTTCTCCATAAAATCATTAGTATAAATTGCAAACATTATGTAATTCATGCAAAAGAATCTGATCGTGTTATTGGAAGATCAAATGGAGTTGAGAAAAGTTCAGGGTCATTCCATGTCAACTCAACGAGGTTTTGAACCTTGACCTCTCGGATCATGTTCAAACTGGGTGTGCTGCAAGTTCCTATTGAAAAAAAAATATTCCCCAAATTTTAGGTCATTTGGTCGCTCCGTTGATTTTATATGGAATTTCAAAGTTTGGAAAAAATTGAGTTTTTTTATGACTGATAAAACTTTGAACGGCTGTTACTTTTCAACGGTTCATCGGAAAAACTTGAACCAGGTCTTGTTTTGAAGCTTAGAGCCTCTTCTTTAAAAAGAAAAAAAAATTTGAAAATTTTTGGAAAATTTTGAATTTTCAAATTTGAATTTTTCAAAATGGGCATTTTTTAAAATTTTGATTTTCTTTGTAGGTGATCCTTACATAATCTTAAAGCATTTTCCAAAGTTTCATTGTGGGCCGCCAAGCGGTTCCTGAGTTATAGCAAGAAACGTTCCATAATCCCTCTCAAAATCTATCATATGTGCCTACTATACAGGGTGGCCCAGACCTACCGTACCAGGCCTTTTTTTCGGTCAATTTGGGTCGCAAAAAGTCCAGGATCGCGGGGATGAATCGGGAATCGACCCCAAGAAATCCGAATTTCATGGTCATAGAGCCCCCCTGGCGTCCCTTGGGGGGCAAAAGGGGGGTCCGTACTTCAAAAGTCAGGGTTAATGTCAAAATTTTGAAACTATTTCATCGGAATCAGAACGTACGGAAATTTTTAACCTGAATCGACACCAAGAAATCCAAAATCGGACCATCCGGGTCCAAAATACTGACCCCTAAAGGTGGGGGACAGAGCCCCCTTTCAAAAAAATCAAGTTCGTTAAATTGACGTGGAGAGTGGGAAAACATGTGTATTCATAAGGAATCGACCTCAAGGAATCCAAATTTGAGGGTCCCATTGTCCTCATACACTTTTCTGATGGGGCACAGGGGTAACCTACACACCGGTTTAATTTAAAAGTTCAGAGACCCCCTGTGCCCCATCAGGAAAGTATCTGAGGACAATGGGACCCTCAAATTTGGATTTCTTGGGGTCGATTACGTATGAACACACATTTTTTCCCACTCTCCACGTTTTTTCCAAACTTTGAAATTCCATATAAAATTAACGGAGCGACCAAATGACCTAAAATTTGGGGAATATTTTTTTTTTCAATAGGAACTTGCAGCACACCAAGTTTGAACATGATCCGAGAGGTCAAGGTTCAAAACCTCGTTGAGTTGACATGGAATGACCCTTCATTGTGTGGTAATTGAAGCCTCCCCTCCTTAACACCATTTGATTGACATTTTATGGCATGATTCAATGGTTGCTCTGACAAGCTTATTTTATAAGTGACTCTTCAGTTTTCTTGCATTTTGTAACTTTTTCCTAAGTTGCCAAATTTTCGAGAAAAATCGTCCTGAAGTGCCAAAAATTATAATGGAAGATAGACCTAAGTGCCTCCCTAAGGTAAATAAAATCCAGAAACCTAAATACTATTAGAAAGCTCTATTCAAGAGGAACATTTTAAATAAAAGGTTCATCGAAATCGGTTGAAATGCAGCAGAGTTATGCATTTTTAAGAGTTTTCACTTCAAAAAATGGCAACGTCGCACATCGGCAGCCGAAAATGAAAAAACGGCTCGTGTTGGACACCTTACGGCTCGTGTTGGACACCCTACTGCTCTGTCTAATTATTTCAATATAAATTGAACGTAAGGGACCCCTAGTTCGCGAATGATTCAGTGATAAGACGCATTCACATTGCGCAAAAGCGCATGTGACCAACTTTGAGCGGTCATATCTCGGAAACTGAACGTTTCCCCGGAATGATCTTGTGCTCGTTAGAAAGGTGAGAACCTGAACTCTTATTTAGACTGGTTTTTGTTCAGATTCCGTCGATTCCACGATCGTGGTAAAATAAAAACAAAATTTTTGTGTCTATCAGAAACTGCTAAAACCGCGTAAGCGCCCCTTAAAGCCAAGTAAACCCAAAAAACTATACACCATTAGAAAGCTCTGTTTAAGAGGCACATCTTAAAAAAAAAATTCAATGAAATCGATTGAGCTGCAGCGGAGATATGAATTTTTAAAGATTTCCGCTTTAAAAAATGGCAACGTCGCAACCCGGCGCTTCTAAGCAAAACGGCGACCGGTTTTGGGCGTCTTGAAAGATACTGTATCACCCCAAGTGTTCAAAACTCGAGAATGCCTTGAGGCATTTTTGGCCGTTTTTTCACACACCTCTTTCATAGGAAGCCTTTTTTATGGCCTGAAATTAACTGTATGTAGAGAAGTACATACAGTACACACCTATGGAGGGTGACTTAGGTTGAAAAACATTCAAAAGAGCTACCTTTCTAGTAAAAGAAGGCCGCTAAACATGACATCCCGATCAATTTTCACATCGTTGGAATCCAGGTACAACTGTGCTTTTTTGACATGTTGTATGTATGGGTAAGAGCTGTTACATACGACAACACAAAAGTTGTAACCCATTTTCTTGAACCTTAGGCGTGGCAATTTATCAATTTGACCATTTCCGGCTCTTTGGAACAATTTTTCTCGAAAATTTGGCCACGTAGGAAAAAGTTTTTATGAACATTATCCTTTCAATTTGTTTGCGTTCTTTTCAAAAACATACAAGGTTCTCAGTTTAAATTGAGTTATGCATGTATAAAATTGAGAAAACCCCTCAAAATGGGCCAAACATTGCAACAATGGACTGCAAAGCCCCTTAAAATTCAGTGGATGCCCTTTTAAAGGCCGGAAATGGAAAGTACGCAAATAAATACGTAGGAATCATCTGCTGAAAGAGCGATAACTTTCGAAAAAGTCGACGAAAGTAACTATTTTTGATGCCAGGATTTTGGGTTTGAGGCGCTGCTGCACCTTTGTATAAGCTCCGTTCAGTAAAAAATATTTGGCATAGAGCCTACCTAGGACTTGTACGTTGAAAATATGAAACATTCAGCATAATCCAGGTGGGGCGGGAAAAGGCCCTTAACGATACTCCTCCTTTGGCATAATGCGGTTTCAATGTGTGTGTTTAAGCGTGGCATAAGCTTTAAGGAATTATGTAACATCAAAGGATTTTGTCAAGTTGAATTAAGTTAAATTATCGTCTTAAGTTGAATTATCGCCTCTGAAAGGCCAGAACGGTAAACGAGATTCCCCCTTTTTTCAAGTCCAGGCCAAGTCCCATAATAGCCCTTTAATTTTGATGAAAAACTGATGTGTTGCTCTTGATTCTGCTGTAGCCATCATAGCTCTTTCTTGTTTGCGGGTAAAATTTTTTGGTGGCAAGTTATGAGAAGGAAAAGGTGTGAAGTTTGGAAAAATCAGCTATTTCAAACTGTGTGCTCAACACCAGAAGAGTTTCTCTCACATGCAACACTAGTCTTGCTAAGCAGCGTTGGCATATCTAGCCCAACGTATCAGTTTTTCATCAAAATTAATAATGAGCTGTTTTGGGAATCAGCTTGGACCTGGAAAAAAAGGGTTCCTTTTTAGTGTTGCGGCGCTTTGGAGACGATAATTCGAGCTTAACTTGACAATTACAGGGTGTCTAGTAACCGGGAAATGCTAGGGAATTTTTTTTTTGTGTGTGTCAGGGAAATCAAGGGAAACGTCGGGGAATCCACGAATTCGGCATGTCAGGGAATTTTATTTTGCAAGTGATTTTTGTGTCAGAGAAACGTCAAGGAAATCGAAAGACACAAGATTTTCGGAAAATGTTTCGCGAACTTTACTCTCATAGAAAGGACGACGGACCGGTCTTATGGGAAAAGTGGGCCCGGTTAAATCGGCTGGTGTTTTGATATGTTGTAGGTCTTAACCCACTGATCAAAAGTGTCAATGGGCGTTTCTTCCTATCTCGAAGTTTTACCCCCCATTTTGGGGGTCAAAGTTGCCAATTCGGCGTATAATTGGTAGTTTTGAAACCCGGGTTTATTGGTCGCCTATAAGATTCTTTGATGGTTTCTTGATTCTATTGTGTCCTCTGAATAGGCTAGAGACCATTCAAACTCATAAACTGAACAATTTTGCCTTATGAGGAAGGGGGGGGGG